TTTTTTTTATAACAACACTAAAAGTAGTACATATGAACTTTCAAATGGCACTAATCCCGTTAAAATATCTCGCTTCCTTAAATATTTCGATATATAAGGTTTTTCTATGATTTTTTGACCTTTAAACTGAAATCCTTCTGCCAATATAAGTTCTTTCGCAAAGTTTTTTAAACGAAGAGTTGACTGTCAATATAGGTGTATTATTGTAAAATTTGGTTAAAGGTTTATATGTGTGTTGTTGAGAAATGGGCAATAATATAAAATCCTTTATTAATAATGGTAAGTAAATAACAATGTCTTTTTATAAAATGTATTTAATACAAAATATTAATATTAATTATTTATTCTTAGACTTAATGATTTTGTTCCTGTTTCTCTTTTAACCTATCGTTACGGGTTCGTGTTTGTACCCACTTAATTACGCGTTGTCTATTCCACATATTTTCAGTATGATTATTTTCTATATTCCAACTGTTTAATTGTTGAATAGCATTACTAATATTTTCTTCACTTGTATTATTCACTAGTGGTTCTAGAAATGATAATTCTTGCATATGAGTTGTTCTTTTGATACGTTTGGTTGGGCGGGAATTTTCAACTGGACCTGAAGGAGAATGAATAGCTTGTATATTAGAAAGATTTTGAATTTCTGTATGAGAACTTAACTGTATATTTTGCAAATTATTATTCAAATTATTAATATTTTGATTAAAAGAATTATTGGAATTAGAAGGCATACTAAAAGAATGTTGTGATTCATTAAAAACAATAGTATTTGAATTTAAAGATTGAGTTGTAAATATATTTGATGACAATAAATGTTGTTCTCTTTCTCTATTTTGAACTCTATCTCTAGTATTATTATTAGATTTTTTCATATTTGCTATTGTATGATGTCCAATATTTTTTGCTCTTCTGCCTGTTGCAATTCGTTTTTCACTTTTTAAAACATCTTGCTTTAATATAGCATAAAGACGCTCTTCTCCTATTGAATAACAATTAAATAATCTGGTCCATCCTTCAAAAGTACATTCTGCAGTCATATTATATAATCCTGAAATATCTTTAAAAATAGAATTATCCATTGGATTGTCAAATGCTATAATAAGTTGATTTATTACATCCCAAGTAATTTCTTTACGAGATTTTACTGCTCAATCACCTTTATATGTAACATTATCATCTAAAAATTCAAATAAAAATAAATTGATTCGATCCCTTTCACTTTGAATAGCTTTGATCTGATTTTTAAGTTGTTCTGTATTAATAGGATTTCCAGATATATTTTGTTTAATATATTTAACTCCAAAAGTCTCTAAAGCTTCATCAAATGCAAAAAAATGTTTTTCTTGACTAATATTAATTGAACAAGCATGTTTTAATAATTCCTTTAATTCAGGATGTTTTGTTAAATGTGCCAAATAAAAAGTAACTGATGAAGCATAATTAAGTTTACCAGCAACAGGAAAGAGTGGTGCAAATGCAGAAAGTGATTCATGTTGCATTTCAAAGTTTCCCATTCGAATTCCAATTCGATGTGCTTTCCACCATCCTGCCCACTTAAAATAAAGATACCAAGTCTTTAATAAATTATTGTCTTCATTCATTATTTGTTCAATTGTTTTATTGTATTTTTTTAAGTGAATATGAAGTGCAACTCCTACTACAAACCAAATCATTTCTAATACTCGACAAGTAGATCGATAATCAACTATTGCTTCTAATTTATCTAAAAATTTAGTTCCCAAAGCTGCTGCTAAATTAAAAATACCAAATCCTGAAAAAATTGTAATAAGAACACTGCACATGTCTTTACTTGTATGCCATTGACCAAGAATTATTCTAGTATGCATATGATTTTCAAGATAAAGTTTTGTTCTTCGAAATATTGCTTCATCAGAAACTATATCTATATATTTATTATTATTTAAATTAAAATCTTGTAAAAACATATCACATGCTTCAAATATTCCTTCATTTGAACTTGGTTTATTTCCAGCTTCTAAAATAACAATATTAGCTGGTGGTAACTGACATCCTAATTCAACACTATTAATAATTTGTTGATGTATATTAGGTAAATCAAAATCTTGAGAGTATATAAAAGTATTTTCTAAATTTGAAAATTGTAAAAAATCTTTAAAAACTTGATGAAAATCAGAGATAAATTGTTGAGCTTTAATATTTTCACCCCAAAGTTTTAAAGTTGAAATATCAGATATAGGAAGAATATTACTTAAAAGAGTTGAAAGTGAAGTAGGCATTTTATATTGAAATACCATACGTAATGTTGCATGTGTTGTATTTCTTGTTTGATCAAAAATATTTGAATAAGCAAAAGTTTTTTCTTTAAAATCTATATTATCGATTACTCCAATATTCCAAATATTATCACCTATCCAAAGTCTTTCACATGGATTTACTGCTGATATTCTAATATTTTCTAATTTTCGTTCATGTCTTTGAGTATGTGTAACTGCATGAATTGTTGTAAGTAGTTGGTGAAGTTGAGTAGTAAATTTTGGTTTTCTAATAAGTGAAGCAAGCATAGTTGGAAGCCAAAGGTGAAGTCCTGGAAAAGCAACACGAAAAATTATAGACATAAGAAAGATTCTAGTTTTAATAGTACTATTTGGATCAAAAGCAGTTGTAGGTTTGTTATAAAATTGTTTTTTTCTATTAACTTCTTTAAATTTTGATAATTGTAATGTATTAATTAACCCTCCAAAAAAATTAGAAAGTAAAGAAGGAAAAATATTATGATGTTCAATTAAAGAATTTGGATTTTCAAATAAATTTTTATTATTATTAATATTTTTTCTATTTTTTAAAATTATTTTTGCCATTCCTTGACCAAATTCATAACTTTCTTGTTCATTAAATTCTTTGTTTTCATAATTAAAAAAATCTAATTTATTTAATTTAAAAGCAGCTTTAATAATAAAGGGACTAGGAATAATATTTAAAGGTTTAGATTCTTTTGAAATAGATGTACTAGATGTATGATTAATTTTTTGTGAAGAAGGTAAAAATAGTAAAAGATTAATTACTTCTTGAGATAATTGCTCTTGAAAATTGGAAGATTCATATTTAGCTACATAAAGTAACCAATTAGCTATTAAATGAAGAGATTCTATAGCATCATTTTTGTGAGAAGAATCTTTTTGGCAATTAAGACTGGCTTTTCCTTTTATCCCAGATCTTTGATGAAAATGTCCACCATATTTTTCATAACAAGAAGTACATACATAACGTGATTTTTTATTAGATAAACTAGGATATAAAATTGGTTGAATTTCTGTTAAAGAAGTACAATAATATTGACCACCACAAGGAACTTGTAAATCACGACCAACTAATGTCCAAGAATGTTGATCACATTGCTCACCACGGGTATAAAATGTCTTATTAATATTACAAAAAAGACATCTTCTATTGCTAATAAAACCCAAAGAAGAATTCTTAGTTCCTTTTGCATTTTTTACATGTAACTTAGTTTGATCATACATTTGATGTGAATAACAAACTCCTAAAGATGCCAAATCATCATTTACCTTACAAACCATTTCACTATCAATTTCCCAAGTTCCAAAAATATTTTTTATACAATGTAAATTTTGTGAACTTCCACAAGAACGAATTTCACCATTAAAATTATCTATTAAAACACAAGTAGTAAATTTAGTTGATTTTGTTGGTTCAGAAATTTCAAATAATTTTATTTCATTAGTAATATTAGTTTCCATAGAAATTACAGATTCATCATCAAAATTACTATCTAATTCTAATATATTATCATCTATATTATCAGTAATAGTTGAAAAATAAC